CTTACTGATACTAAAATATTTTTTTAATTTAAGTAGTTCCTGAGATAATCACGTTCAACTAAATAAACGACACTCTTCAGCTTCTTATATATTTTACGGTTGTATGACTCTAACTATATGTAATTAGTATATAAACGCTTATTATTATAACAAGTTAATTAAACTGTGTCGGCAGTTTTTGAGTGGTGTACAAACTCTGATATCGAGTTTGACCAAACACGGAAATAAAGTTCTTAATATAACCTATTTGTGGAGTTAGACTATTTATGAGTTATATTATAATATATAATATCATAATTCTTGTCCAAATTTTAAATCAGTTATGTTTTATTCTCTAGAAGCCTAAAATGACAAAAGGGAATGTAAAAAAATGTAATCAGTTTCAGTTTTACCTGAGGGAAACTTTGTATAAATCCATCTGCATAACTATAGGTTAGTAAATAATAACAATAACATAAGACCATGAGAATTCATGTAGCGCTACATGTGTAATAAACATCGGATATATATAGATTTGTTTTGTAAATACATACATGTATTTACAAAACAAATGTTTTGGGAAACACCCATGCCAATACAAACAATAACTCTCATGGATGCAAATGTTTGTACTATGCAACCGCTACATACACCACCGAGGCTGTTAAAAAAGTCAAAGGTAGATATATAGATAAATGTTTTATTTACATCTTCAGCACACACAATAGAAAATAGAAACAATAAAAGTTACTCACTTACGGAGTAGAATAAATAGCTAGTAGGTATAGGAGAAGATATAGAGAGATAGAAACCATCGCTCCTAAGAATATCCTTTAATTCTTGTCTCTGACGGGTCTAGGCAGCGAATTTAGAAAAAGGGCGAGCATAATGCGAGGTACAGGACTAAGCACCTGAATAGTCCCCGTTATTCTGCTGGCTAAAGTTTGCTTTGCAAGATGTGATCTGGTTAGTACATTAGGTGGACTAAATACTATGTATTAATACATATTTGTTATTCCAGTATATAGGCGACTGTTGACACTATTATATCGACTATCAATCAGCTTGTTTGTCATTCCGTCCCATAAAAATATCAAACAACAGAACATTACTTTCCGTAAAACGAAAAACTAACATAAAGCAAAAAGTCGTGATCAATTTATAGAATTAAAAGGGCTTACGCAAGATTGAAAGTTGACGCGCCTCGCGCCGGATCATCCCGGGATTACCGCGGGATTAGGATCCCTGCCCGCGGGGATCCTGGGCCCTCCCGGTAAGAACTCCACTGAGATTATAAGAAATGAATCAAACGTTCACGTATATTGAATCTGAGTGAGTTATGTATAGGGTTGTCACTCTCATTAAAATTATGTTAATTTAATTTGACACAATGTACATCTGTACACACCATTTAGAAAAATATAACATACTAGTTGTTACCCGCCGCTTTTTCTGAATTTTAGAGGCACAAGCTATCCTTTTACATTTATAATATTAGTATTTATAAGTGTAAATGCGTATTACAAAAAATACACATACTGCATTAAATTTACAACACTTTTCAATATTTGTTTATTCAAAACTATTTTTATTCTACAATGTCGAAAATTCTAGTATTTATATGATTAAATATTAATATATTAAATACATTACATATATTGTTTTAGCTAAATTTTGGTTCTACATAATAGTTAATCAACAACAAACTATTCAACAACATTCTCAGTTATTGTTGGTTTAGTACAAGGTTAGCTGAATCCGGGTAAATATTTAATTCAATTCACATGAAATTAGGCGAAGTTTTTCTTTTCCGGAATTTCCTGCGCGGATACTACCCGTCTCCGGTGTTATTGCCATAAAGAATAAATTTAGGTTACAGAGCGAAAAACCTACTGTAGCGAAATCTCTTTAGTCTTTTTTATATAATTAATGCCATATATTGTATTTTGAATTTAGAATGTTCGATTGTAGACTTGTGCTTACGTTCAAAATATTTTTTTTTTCACAAATCACCGAAGCCAAAAGAAGAAAAAAAGGTACATTATGATGCTGTGTAACTTTTTGGGGCGGCAAAAGGCAAACCATTGTTTGCATAATTTTGTAGGCTTTCTCCGCATATGCAATTGAAAAACATTTTTTGTATGAAACTGTGTATACTTCTCTTATTTAGAAGCATCACACGTTTGTTTGTTACATAGATTCATTATTACTTTATTTCTCATAAGGTACTAATTCTTACAAAAACTCGTGTTAAATGCTCTGTGAATGAACAGCTGAACAAAGATAAATATTATTAGTTTCTATTTAAAAAAGGTTGGTTTGAGGTGGCGCAGAATAGAAAAAAAAAACTGTAAAGAAATTGGGGTAAACGTTTTCCTCTATATTAGAATTTCCAAAAATTAAAAAAGTAAATTACAGATATTTGTTACATTTCCATGTCTAAACAATTGAACGGATCTCATATAAAATCATTACATTAATCAATAAGCAAATGTGGCAAGCTCTATTTTTCTATTGTAATTGTCGTAATATTAAAAAGTAATGACTTTTTATCAAATCAAATCGATATTTCGATCAAATTAAAATTAGTACTTATCGTAAAATGAACTTTATGATTCGAAAATCCAAAAAGACCACATAAGTGCTGTTTTTGATAGCTATTTAAACATGTTTTGCCATCAATATTCTATATTCATTCAGTATATAGAATATACTGGATTGGAATGTATGCCGAACCGCTATAAATAAAATATGCAATTATACATTTATTTACAGAAAAAATAGAGATGCCATGTGGAATGCATTTGGGTTATCTATTTATATACAAAGTTGTGGTTGAATACTGCACTAAGCCTTCAAGTTTCGACCCAGTTTAGAAGTGCCTCTGAGTGTATATACTTACATGTGCCATATTAATAGTATAGACCTAGTTTCTAGTGGAAGTGGTGGATTAACACTATAGATATATTGGTAGACCGATATAGACGTTAGACTATATTCAACTAGTACTACAGTAATAGTATGATATTAACTAAAGTAGAGAGTTCATATTCAATTAATTTGTATATTACTAACCTAGCAAGTATTATTTACTAAAAAAATATATAATAATAATAACAATATTTCTGGATAATACACACAACGCCATCTAGACCCAAGCTAAACAGAGCTTGTGTTATGGATACTAGACAACTGATATAAATACATACATTTTTCACCTATACCTATACAAACTATCATACCCATGAATACAATTAGAACTGAACTCATGATTACAAAACCGTGCGAGGAATCGTAAAAAAACCTTTGTGTATTAATTTATATGATTGACTAATTCGCCGATAAAGAAAACATCTATCTCAAAAATTAATCCGAGGGACGGCGGTAAGCTCGCCTCCTGGATATTCATATGCATCTTGCAAATATTCGTTAATTCTGTATTATGCTTTATTTATCAGCGTTTGTCTTAACTTACTAACAAATGGATTATAGTTATTTTCCTTTTTCATTCTATCAGATAACATAAAATTATATATAATGTAAACAAATGATTGAGTCTCGTTGCCTTAGCTATCAGGCATTAAGTCCGCCATGCATACAATATTGTGTGCAGAAGAATAAATAAATAAATAAATATTTCAAATCAAATCAAAAATCATTTATCATGTAGGACATATTAGCCGCTTATGAACGTTAAATTTTTAGTATTAATATTTTTTCCCTATTTTATCCTTTCCTCCTTTTTAAAACCTTTTATTTACATATTGTAAGTACAATATGTAAATAAAATAATACATACATAAGTATATAGGTGTCTATGTCTAACATTAAGTGAAAATACTGGGCATGAACTAATAGTTCATGTTGCCATGAGTTCATTTGTCATTCAAGTAATCGATTAGTGTGTAATATTTTTATTACTATATTATTATTATGAAATGGTGGTAGCCCTGTGGATACGTGGACAACATAATATTCTTTTATATGGAGCCATTATTATTAGAGTACGTACAGAATGATGTTCGATAGATTCTCATTATATTATTTCTTATGAAATTAGTTCAGAAAGAGTATCCTTAGTTGCCTATTGAAGATTTGGAGTTTTGTCCATAGAGTTATATATTATAATATAATATAAAGGAATTTATATAAAAATATTATATTATAGATATAATATATTATAATATTTTACGATTACGTATAAAAATTGCAGAATAGTGTTTTTAGTGATTTTGTAAATAGAGAACTGTTAAACATATTTCATACATTGCACACTTCATAAGCTGCATAAACTAAAACATTCAAACATACAATTGAGTTAGAAAATCCAATCTCAAAGCAAAACATTAAAGTTGAATTTCGAAGATGTGTATATTTTGATTTAATGCAGTTTATATGATAAACCTTACAAAATAGGGGGTATAAACTATATTATGTCACAAAACAACATTTTGTACGGAATTTATATGTTAGTAATTAAATATAATCATTTGTGTAAATTAAAATATGGTACTTATTAGCTTGTACTACTAACTTCACCAACCACGTGAACTTCATCTACATCACATTTCTCTAGTTTTGCTACCTTTTTCAATGCGGCTGCGCTCCTATTTGTTGTATGTATAAATGAGCTATCCAATAAAAAAATATCTAAATCGGTTCAGTACATCTAGAGATTACCCTTACAACAACACAAACCCTCAAACTTTACTTCCTAATATTAGTATATATAATCATACAAAGGTTTAGAATATTCCCAATAATTTTTTGTGTATTCCAATTCACATATGCGCATTATAAATACAATAAAATTATATTTTTCACCCATTTTTTAACACGTAGAAAATTTTTCATACAGACAATTTCGTTGCCAGAGGGATGGCGAGGCGATGAAATAAATTAAATCCTAAAACTAATTGATTTGATGAAATTTACAAAACACATTTTCTTTTAATAAATTTTCTCACTCAGAACGCATAGTAACAGTGAGCAGATAGCATAATACAAAATGTTTTACTCACCAACGCACGGGTTGTGGTTCACAATAGCGAAGATCCGGTCGCAGCGTTTCTTCATGTGAGTGTTTGGGCAGATGCAGCCGAAGAGCGGAGACAAGCGTAAGCCAGACCAGGCCTCACGACAGGCCTCTCTGTTGGACAATATCGGGTTAACTGACCATTGAAAATAAATAAATGCAAATATAGGTAACTAATAAGGTGCTAACAATATGTAGTTGAGGTATGAAATAGAAATATGTACAATACGTCATAAGAGGTGTGCAAATATAAATTTTTAGGTTAATAAAAATTGTAGGTAAATACAATTTATATTTAATTAAGTAAAGCACTCTAACTCATATATAGTCATGTTAATGTATCAGAAGTTGTAAAGAAGTCACTAACCAATATAATAAGCGAATAAATTTATTATAAATAAATAGTTTTTTATTGTTAGCAGATCTAAACTGCTTATCTTGGTGGTCTAAATTTGGTAAGCATATCACACTCTCCATGTGTCTATTTCTCCATTTAATTTCAGTTTTTAATAGACTTGTGAAGTCAATCATTGAAAATAAAAATATTCTCTTTTACAGCTAACGACATAAAAGAGAACTAAAAGTGGCGACAGCTTTTAATTTTGCAAGTATATTAGCGGTCAGTTTTCCTGAAGTTAAGTGAAGACCGCAACCCCGGACGAGAAACTTTGAAGCCAGTTTTCTGCACGAAACCAAACAAAAACCACTCCATATTTGTTGATTAATTAATGAACTGCAACAACTAGTTCAGTGTTTATTCGTTGGTGTACACAACTTGTTTCCGTTTAAGTTTTTTTTGTATAAAATGAAGTCGCCTGTTTTTAAGAGTTTCAAGTTCTTTTAACGTTTTTACACCTGAGATAATTAAAGGAGAGATTTTTATTTTTAACTTCCGGCTCAAATAAAAAAGTGGTGCTTCTTAAACGAAAATAGAATGGCAATTAGTTAACGGTCTACGTGTTGAAAAAGTTGAGCTGCAACCGTATATATAGGAGAAGGGGATTGTTAGTAATGGACATTAAGTTCACAGGTAGGTCAGTTAGCATATTGTTAATTACTGCCAATTATGTCAAAAATTGCCCGCAATTTACCAAGTAACACGATCTGTGTTCCGAACGGTTCTAGGAAACCATAGTAAATTTCTATTGACTTCCCCAGGGGAGGGGGCTAACTGACCTGGCTACGAAGGCAGGAGGCAACAGTGAATGATAGGATAAGCATGAGTAGTATAGTCAGCGCTTACAAGCGCTAACACCATTCCATTATCAACAGTCGCTTATATAAGCTGCATCACATAAATGACGTTATCATGTGATGTCATACTTCTCATGCGTTGCTATCTTTGACGGTTGTTAATAATAAACAATAATAATACAATAATCACATTGGATTCACATAGCTCTATTTAATCTAGTGTTAAGCTAAGGAGAGCTTGTGTTATAGGTACTTACAAGTGATAGATATACTAAAATACATATTAATGTAAACAATACGTTCAATTTATAAAATGTTTTCAATGAAATGTATGACAGGAGTTTTACATGTAAAATTAGCTCTCACAATAGAAATACTTGATAATGTCTGTATTAAAACAAGGGTATTATAGTACTGTGAATGAAATAATTTATTCTTCAAAATGTCCACGCTAAAGCGGTTTATTTTGAGCCATTGATCGTGCTCGTCCGAGTTTATTTTGTACAGGGGATGACGGGTCGCTATTTTTGAATATGTAAGCATTTAATGGGGCGATAAAAACCTAAAATAAACGTTAATGGTTTAGGGGTATATAGAATAGAAAAGACATTTGGCTACCTTCGTTGTTAAAATATATATTCTCTTAATAGAAAGGCTAAATGAGAGCAACAGAGGTTACCGAAGTTAGTCTTTGCAACAACTCGTCTGCATGCAGGTAGATGTTATGACGTAGGCGTCCGCTAAGAAAGGATTTTGATTAATTCTACCCCTAAGTGGACAAAATAGGGGATGAAAGTTTGTATGAAACTTTGTCAATTTTAAACCGATCGGGCTGAGATTTTGCATGCATAAAGCTACTATGACGTAGGCATCCCCAAAGAAAGGATTTTGATAAATTCCACCCTTAAGGTGATAAATTAACGCGAGCGAAGCCGCGGGCAAAAGCTAGTAAGCTAATTATTGTAAATTTTATACATCAATCTCATCATCATCATCATCATCATCCGTACTCACAAACTTTCGCATTTTTAATATTAGTAAGGCATGTCAGATAACGTATAAGATTTGGCAGTGAAATTACAAGAGTACGGAGGCATGGCCTTACAGATCTCCTGAATGGCAACGCTTGTGTAGTATTATTATTATATATATCATGTAGTATATTATTATATATATAGGTAACGTCCGGTGAAGCTGTAAAGGCTAGCTGCGGCCAACAGCATTAGAGTAGTCCGAAAAAAAAAATATATACATGTATATATATAGATGGTGACATGATATATAAAATACTCGTGTCACAGTGTTTGTAATAAAACTCTACCGATTCGGCATTAATAATACATTCAACCTGGCATTTTATAACTACTATCAATCTCTATTTTCAGTACCGAATTTCAAATCTTGTAAATTACAAATCAAAAGGATGTTTGCAAGGACAATTTAACAACTATATATATATATTTACTACCAGTTGCGCTGTCACATTCCAGTTAATTATTCCCAATTAATTATTTATAGGGTAACAGTAACGCTGTTCAATGTACCTGTCATCCATACGACATTCACCATCTCGGGTCTTGCAAGCGTTCTTGAATCGATCGAACAGCACGGAACACGCCTTTTCATTGTGGCATACACTGAGCGCATAGTTGCAGGTCGGCAGGGTTTCCACTGGGTATGGATCCTTCTCTATAAATATTAAATTAATAATACAACATTAACATTAATTTGATATTTTAATAAGGATTTATAATTATAGGCTAGTATAATTATAAAAACCCGGTAGATATTGTCATGTCCGGAAAAGCAGCGTCATCAACAGATTCTACAAAACTATATTACAGGTTTACGCCTGTAATATAGTTTTCAAACTATCCAGAAACTCATTTCAGTAGTTTCCCAAATGGTTTATACACATAAAAAATCTTAAAAGTTTCGGAGATTGAGAGTGAAACAGAATTAGGTTAGTTATCTATTTCTTATGTTTTTGGATAGACACAAATGCAGAACATTTTGTAACTTCTCATACACAGTTAGCAAACATAGTTGGACATGTTTATTTATTTTTACAGGTATATCCATACTTATAAAATATCCAAACCAGTAGAAATAGGCTTCCTAATATATATATATTCCAACATAAAGGTACAAGTTCATTGCAAATACTAATATAAACTCCAGTTTGTATCTTCAGTGAACCAACCTTTTATAGACATGACTATAACACGTACCTTTCTTCATGACAAATACGCAGGGATGATCAAAGAGGAAGTCGCGGAAGGAGTTGCATTCTGGATCGACGTTTGGCTCACGACAGAGGCAGGTCGGCTTGAAGAACGGGAACGCTTGCAGGGTCTTCAGGGCAGCTTGACATTTGGTCACAGTCACCGTCGAGCAGGCCACTAAAAATATCAATAACATATATCTTTATGTATATTAATATTATATAGAGGTAATGTTTGCTAGGTTGTAGGTATCCCTGGATGTTCTGAACAGGTTTTGAAAATTCTTTTACAGTTGGATAGCCCCCTTTATCGATAAAGGATAAAAACTGTAATACATCACACTACGACCAATAGGAACAGAGCTGCAATGAAAGATAATGCGAAGCAATCACGCGGCTCATATAGTCATCATATAAGATAATAATAAAATCTTGGCAAGGCGAAAATTGTCTGATTATCTTTTAGTTTTTTTTTATGTGTTTAGATGGTAAAAACGGCTGAGAAATTATCATACTAAATATTATAAATGTTACTAACAGTAACAAGGACGGGGAGGAATAAAAAATAATGAAATTCATGTGACACGAACACTCCTAACATCATTTCATCATTATGAACAGAAAGAAATATTTAATAACAAAAGCCAAGCAATTTAAAAATTTTAAACCAAAATTCATGACGTGGAGTTGATGAAAGCAATTTACTTATTACAAAGTATTGCTATATTTCATACTACATAGTTAAAATACTCAAGTCCTCTCACTCGGAAGGAATTGAAGTAGTTTCTAAATAGTATGTAGATTTCATTGCATAAATGTATCTAGGTGATGTGAAAAATTAAAGTACTAATAAAATATACCTTCACGACACTCAGAAATTTATAAAAATGAATATAGCATGGAGCATCCGCCTAACGGGATTCTATTGTTTTATATTAGGATGAGCATAAAGTTAGGTCTATTAGCCAACCGTGGTGGATTCTTTAGGAATCTACCACGATAGGTTAGGGTGGCCGCGTGAAGGCAGATCGCCTATATATATACACGGTATATTCATAGTAAAAAGTTACTATTACTAGTCATCATTACTAAACTATTTGAATAAGGGTGTACCACATTGGCAGATGCAATTCGGATTAATTTGGTACGTTAGTTCTTCTATCACAGTAGATTCAGTTAGAGGTAGACATTGACACAAGTTTTTTTTGTTAGTAGATCCGAAATCAACCTTTATGGTTTTAGTAGCGGTAATATATCATAAGGCTCCAACGGTCTCATAGAAAATCATAAAAATAAAGGTAACATTTGTTCTGATGATGGATCCTAACAAAAAATCTTTAAGACAAAACAACCTGCTTTATTAATTCTTCCATTGCCTACAGAATGGCAGAAATTTAATAATATTAATCCAAGACTATTCACATAGTGCCATATAATCCATACTAAACAGAGCTTGTATACTGTACGTATTAAATACCTGAATGAAATATGTAACATTTATTATTTTAATATTTATTAATTATTTTGTTCTAAATGAGAATATGTGCATACAGATGTATATTTTATTACATAGAAAATACCCAAACAATCTATCACGCAAGAATTGAACCCGCGGCCATTGGAAGTAAAGCGGGGTGCTAAGCTGTTATACCACTAACGCCATCAAAACAGCTCACACATCCTTCCATGAACACCACAATACATTCCTCTGTAGTAAAGGTCACAGCAATCCGCATGTTGGGGCGGGTCGACCCACGGCAACCCCTCCAAATAGCAAAAACCGATCCGTAGCGAAAAAGTCGTATGTGTGATTATGTGAAGAATTAGAAGTAATTTTTTTGTCCAAACGCCATTAGGGAGTGACCGAATGACTGTATAAGATTTTTTCCCTTTAGGAATCCTTTCAAACACAAAAGGTGGTAGAGGCAATTGATTAATATGAGACTACAAGATGGTACTCGTGACTTCGCCTACTTTGTTTATTACTTATTCTTACTACTATTATAAATGCGAAAGTAACTGTAACTGTCTGTCTGTATGTCGTGCTTTCACACCAAAAGTACTGAACCGATTTGAATAAAATTTGGTACATAAGTAGTCTAGAGAAAGGACATATGCTACTTTTGAAAGGGGAGATGAAAGGTTGTGTGGAAGTATCGTCATTTATAAAGGTAGAAGTTAGAAACTTATTACTTAGGCTGTTGATTAAATATAAATAAATATGACATTAAAAGTTTGTAAAATTATTGTCTATATTTTTCCTTTTCAATGAAATACGTTCTGTCATTTAACCTCGATGAGGTAACGAACACGTAGACATACACACTCGTATTTATAATATTAGTACGTATTTTTTTTAGTTACACACAATTTTCAATATTATTACACAATAAACTTTGAACTCCAATCTTTAAATAGGGCTAAATGAGGCTGCCGTACCAAAAAAAAAATAAAGAACAACAAACAAATTAATAAAGATTTAATAAAAATTCTTTCAATAGTTCACAATCTCGCCGATATATAGTCAGTCAACAACGCCTCTGATGACCTCATGTGGAATGTCAGTCGTAAAGATATACGACATATATCTAAGAATTAATTTTAATCTTTGCATTTAATAATGCCGCCCTTACATCGACAGTTGACAACTCTGACTACCGTCTCTGGGATAATCGCCGTGTATTTTTTAAGACAGTGTATATATAACTTTAACCTTGACAGTCAATTTTATTGCATACACATAAGGCATTCACGTAACTTTTAAGCCCTTTCACGAGCTTCAGAGCCTTTGACCGTAACCTTGGACTCCTCGCTTTGTTTTGTTTCCAATCGGATTTAGTTGCGGATTTAATTTAATGCTTAAGGTTGGCTTTCATCACACATAATCTCTTAAAAGGGGATTCCTACTAAATAGAGATTTTAAGTTGCGAATTCAGTGGCCGTATTTGCATGAGACAAATAGACTCAGAGCGAAAAAACAAAAGTTAGAGCGATCCATGTTATATTAAAATTGCTTTAATTATAATGGAAATTATCTTTCCTTTTTATTTGCGTGGAATTCAACTTTATTTTTCTAAAATAAAAATAGCTTAAGTTACTCCTTATTATATCAGCTACCTGTTCATAAAGGTACCTTCAAAATCGGTCCAGCAATTTCAGAGATTAGCAGGAATAAACAGACAGACAAAAATAGTAAAAAAAATATATTTTGGTGTATGTACCGTATTTATATTCATACGCATGTAGTAAAAACGGTTATTTCAGTATTACGGACACTCCAACTTTATTTATATGTATAGATTTACCTGGAATGGAAAATATTCTGACAGCTTACCTCATGGTAAGTGGTAACCGTCCACTGGACGACTGAACATGATGTTTTTTTAATAATAATAGCCCCTAATATTAAATTCTAGGCGTTATCTTGATTTACTTATACACTACACTTTCTATTTACTACAGAATACAGGAGTAATTTCAAACTAGGAATTATACATTACAAGGTTTTTATTTTATTTTATGTACGTGATGTTTATGGTGCTGATAACTGAAGTACCACGGACCTCGTTTCAGCATGTAATGTGCGTTGCCATTCGGGAGGCCTAAGATGCAATGCCTTGAATGTTATTCAGAGTACGAAGGTGCCTTGCCATAGTAGTACCTTGATCTCATTCATCAAATAAAATAATTTGTTTGTAAAAAAATAATAACACAAAATACACACTTTCAGAGGTAAAATGGATTTCTAGGAGATTTTAGTTTTCATCAATAATATTTTAGACATTATTACACTATGATTGTTACCTACCACAAGTAGGTAGTTGATTTAAGTTTATATGTGTAGTAGACCTACATATTTTGACTTCATATTGATAATATCCGTCGTACACTCAGCATCAAAAGTGCCGACTACTTACGAGTTCGTAACTAAAATGCGGCACTCTCGTTATTCATTTATTACTTAGTTGCTAGATTATATCACAGGCTAAATCCTCCGTCGTCTCTCCACCCACCACTTTATCGGGCTAATGCTTAAAAATATCCTCCCCTCTAATTTTCTTGCTCTTTGAGTCCGTGAGATATCGACGTCGTTTTTCATTTTCCGATATTATTCTTATAATTTTGTTACGTCATTACTGTTTGGAATGGATCACTTTACGTTGCTCGAAGATTTTATTATTTGAGCGATTTATTTGAAAATTTCATCTCGTTTAAAACAACCTAGTTGAGGTATTTAAGCAATTTAATTGTGATTATAATTATTTTGTGGTTCTTGGAAAATATAAATTAAAGTAGGTATAATGGATAATGGATATTAATAGTTGATAATCTTTCTTTTTGAGTTAATTTAAATTAATCGAAATTTACTTTGAATAAATCTTATTGTTAATATAATAATCGATGGGGCGCAAGGCATTAAAAAAAATACGTCTACATTATATAATTGTGTATTATTAGTTAGACTTCCTAAAAAGACATCTACATCTGAACTCTGACTCTGATTTTAGCATCGAAATATGTCTGTGAAATTACAGGGTATGAAAGCATAAAATCTTTGACTTTCGGAGTGGTAACAGTTACAATTTACCATCAGGTGGACCGTCAGTATGTTTGCTATTCGAGCTATTTTTGTATCAAAATCCTTTGCTTGGTTAAGAAGTAAGTGGGGAAACAAACAGTCGGAAACAGCGACTTTGCTTTATAATATTTATGGATAGTAAGTGGGTATAGAAATAAGTAAGGATGTAAATAAATAGGTCTCACCAGATACTAGATTGATGATAAATCATGCTTTTAAAAATCATTAATCATTCAATAAATCATTTCCGCGTCATCATGTCTCTCTTTGCGCTATATTGTAAGAGTAGACGCCGAGGAGATTAGAAAACAATAGACATTATTCTATCGTGACTGAGGCTTTATCCTGAGATTTCGTTTAAGAAGTTAAATTGTTAATTAATCCGCTGTGAAATTCTGCAACGAAAATATAAACTCATTTTGATATCATTATTACTGGGATTGATGTGTTGTCAGTTTATATTTAAACTATTACTCATTAACTAACTCATTTATAAAAACTGCATCATCATCATCGTCATCATCATTAGGCCACTGCAGTCTACTGCTGGATATAGGCCTCTTTCAAGACATGCCACTGGACACAATCTTCAGCCCTTC